CCTCCCCTGCTGAAAAGCCTCCCCCCCAATTTAAACAATCCTATCCTATATAATCTATCTATATTAATAAAAGGGTAATATGCTAATTAGACCGGGTCGACCGGCCATCTTCCGGACGTCCGGCTTCCTTCTGGACAAAGCCATGGTGTTGAGGGCTGAGGCAGAGGCAGTTGGGGGCGATCAGGCTAGCAGGGGAGAGCAGTTAGGGGCGATCAGGTTGGCAGAGGAGAGCAATTAGGTGTTATGAGGAAGGCAGGCAGAAAGGTTAGGGGCAATCAGGCAAGCAGGCAAAGGGGTTAGGGACAATCAGGCAGGCAGGCAGAGTGGTTAGGGGCGATCAGGCAGGCAGGCAGGTGAGCCGTTAGGAGCCAGTGGTCCCAGATTGCGGGAAGGATGTCTGACTGCCGGTTTAGGCCCAATCCCAGGGGTCACCAATTAGAGAGGGTGCAGGCTGGGCTGAGGGAATCCCCCCCCCCCAGTTTTTGTCATAAAACCCCCAAAATACTTTAACTATAGCAGCAAATATTTATTGAACAAATATTTATAGATATATTTATCTAGCAGGCTACTAACCTTTATATAACTTGCTTTGATTATTTCTCCTAACAGACCCTATGAGGCAGGATTTAGGCTTCTTACTGGTAACTAACATTATATCTTAATTTAAAAAAAATCAGAGTTTAAAAAAATTTATTACTGAATTTTATCCTTGTTGAGGTTATAGAATACATGTTGTTTTCCAAGTTTCATATTAGATACCCTGTGGTTAAAATTAAGTAACTTGCCAAGGTCATATTAGAAATTAGGGACACTGGCTCTTTTAACCAATTCCCAAATGTATTTCCTAAAGCCACCAAACTTCCCCTTTCAGCCACAGACATTTCTAGTATTTATCTTGCTGACTTGGATGTCTAGGACCAAGGAGAACAGCTGTTTTGGGAAAAGACAGACTAATTAGTGGGGTGCTCGGGAGCTAACTAGTACAATGTCTAGAAATACTCAGAAGGCACTGATGTTGCTAGACTGGTGGGGTCCTGGGAGGAGGATGAGAGGGGCGTGGGTGCAGGGAGAGGGGCTGCGTCTGCGGGGCAGGGAGCCCCTGAGAAAGGAGATCTTTATTCAGAGGAGGTGAATACACTGTTCACCTGGTTTCAGAGCAGGTTTTCAGGCCCTTCAGCCTAGCTGGGAAGGAGGCAGGGATTTGTTTTCCTATTAAACAGCACCAGCAAAAAAAACCCCAAAACAAACAAACAAAATAAAATAAAATATATTTAAAAAAATAAACAACACCAGCTGCACAGCAAGCCATCGCAGCATTTCATTGTGACTAAAGCACTTCTCAGGATGTTATACTTTCATGGATGTGTTTTGGCATTCCTTTTGTGAGGAGGAGGGCCCTAAAGAAATGCCTCCCCTTGCGTTTTACATTCAGGTATTACACTGGTTTAACAGCCTCATATAAACACTGGGCATGGTTCAGGATGAATAACTTGAAAGTGGCGTGAGCTGGTAACTGAGCACCCTGGAGTACATACAGGGCCAACATTCTCCACCCTCATCAGCCAGACAGGAGGGCCCTCTAAAGTGGCCGAGCACGATGCATTGGTTTTCCCACAAGTTCAGCTCTGAATCCCCAAATGCTCTCCGTTGAATTGTGGGCAACATGCCCAAACTTAAAAAAAAAAAAGGCATATGAGAAAGAGGCTGTTTCATCGACATTAAAGTAGCCCCCGTTAGGCGTCTAGCAGCCTCCCTCACACTTCGGAAGCCCCATGGCCCACAGCATTTGGGGCCGCCTGTGAGACCGTCCTGTGCCCATTTCCCTCAGACCCTGTGTACTTTGTATCTTGGCAGGATTTCCAATGAAAACTACATTCCTCATGGGCTGAAGGTGGTGCAGTGCCATAGCCGGGGTGGGCTGCGCTCCCTCATGCAGCTGGAGAGCCGCTGGCGTCAGCACTTCCTGGACTCCATGCAGCCCAAGCACCTGCCCCAGCAGTGGTCAGTGGACCACAACCATCAGAAGCTGCTCCGGAAATACGGGGAAGACCTTCCCATCAAGCTGTCGTGATAGCTGCTTTCCTCCCAGGTGAGGACAGCTGGGGAGCTGGAGCCAAGGTGGAACCGTCACCTCTTCCCATTTTAATACGTTGTTAATTGTCAAAGCCTGTGACACAACTCCGAATACTAACCCATACCGATCCCAGAATGCTTCTGGTGGATGGAGCATGGCTCTTGTTTTAAGGGGAGCTTATGGTTTTAAATTTTAGTTGGGCTGAATGAAAATTCTTTTTCTTCTCCATTTTATTTTTGTGGACAAGGAGGCAAGGAGCGTCTTGGATTTATTTTACTCTTCCTCTTCTGCTTTCCCTGTGCAGATGGGAAATGAAGGATTCTCCCTGAAGTGACTTGTCAGGACCCTCAGGTTTTTTAATACATTTCTTCCCTGTTCGGTATATTGATTTATCTCAAACGGGCTAAGCATTTCAATCCCGTCAGGCTGGGAGGGAGAAAAAGTTCTTCCGGGGGTTGGAGAGGCTATCAAGGGTTCAGATGAATTTTTCCAGTTCAGCCTCATAATTACACATTCTTTGGCTTATGCTCTCCCACAATGCACCTGTTTGGGATCCTTTCCCAACTGAATCACTTCAGTTGATTTCACACACTTGAGCTTGCTCCCCTCGACATGTCAAGGACCAAAGCGACAACGTCCTTACTTTGCTTCCACACTAACACTAGAGGGAATCATTTTCTAGAGACAGGCCTCCCACCAGGTGTGGCAGAGAGAAGCCTCAGCACCATCTCCCCAGGGAACTTCGATAAGTTGCTGTGCTTTTCCTTTCATGCTGTTCACTGTCTGCTGGTTGCCATCCTCCTGCCCATAACTGCAAGGCTTTTAGCTTAATCCCTTCCTGGGCGGAAGATGATCTTTTCTCAGAATCAGTATCCGGTCCCTCCAGAGTTCTGTTTCCATCAATTTGCAGTACTGACCTCTTTCCATCACTTAATTGTCTCCTGGAGTCTTTGGTTGCACTGAGGATCTCTCCACCTCCCCCCATGCCTGGAACACTAAGATTAACTTACGTGTTTAGATTTTAAAATAGTGGTGTTTTTTTCTTTCAAAATGTGAGGTCGCCACTTTAAGCATGAAATCAACTTGGGAATTGTGCCCAAGTTGGTGATGGTTGCTCTGATAAATAAAACTTCTAAGCACAAAACTTGCTGACTGTAACTGTAAAACTTTTTTCTTCATAACTTTATAAAGTTGGTAAACATTCTTGGGGGAAGAGATAGTCGTCCATGTGGCAGTACCATCGTATGTGGGCATGGATGGATACACACACACACACACACACACAGTGCAGCTCTGGCAGGTCAACAGCAGCCCACAAACACACATGCACATCTTACATGTTGTTCCTCTGCCCCTTCATTCCAACTTGTCCTCAAAAAGGCATTTCTGGGATCTAAGCTAGAAATCCTTAAAAATGAATAGTACCAGGCACTGTGGGGACCATATGTTCAATGCCTTAGGTTATTATGGGGCCTGTGTCTCTGACCATATTGCATGGAGCTCATGGAGACGGACAAGTGGTCATGCAGTAGTCAGACTTGCCACAAGGTGGCACTCAAAGATTTTGTTACATATTCCTTCTTGAGAAGAGACTTTTATACATGGTTCCTGAACACAACTCAAGATTTATGTTTCAAAATTTATGGACCTTAGCCCTAGTTGGTTTGTCTCAGTGGACAGAGTGTCGGCCTATGGACTGAAGGGTCCTGGGTTCGATTCCGGTCAAGGGCACATGCCCAGGTTATGGGCTCAATTCCCAGTAGGGGGCATGCAGGAGGCAGCAGATCAATGATTCCCTCTCATCATTGATGTTTATCTCTGTCTCCCTCTCCCTTCCTCTCTGAAATCAATAAAAATAGATTTTAAAAAATGTATGTACCTTATTTGGGGTCATTTTGATAGCTTTATAAGAAAAACTTCCTCTGAAACAGGGATTAGGACTCTTTCGTTCTCTTCCCTTGTGATCCTCATGCTCAGAGGTAAGAGACTCGTACAAGGTCAATCAAGGTGCAGGTCAGTTACCGTAAGGTGCAGTGGTTGCTGTGAGAAGAAGGAATGAGGTCCCCAGCAGAGCTTCCTGCAAAGCCCGGTAACAGAGCCCGCAGCCACGGTAGAGGAGGAAGCTAGACTGGCACACGAGGAGTCTCATCCTTTTCAGAAGTTATTGTGTACATTTGAGTCTTTTGTTCACTGAGTCAGCCTTGGACTTTATTTATTTTTAAAGATTTTTAGAGAGAGAGGAATGGAAAGAGAGAGAAAGAAACATTGATCGGCTGCCTCCTGCACACCCCCCACCAGGGATCAAGCCCACAGCCCAGGCATGTACCCTGACTGGGAATTGAACCTGCAACCCTTCTGTCCACGGGAAGATGCCCAATCAGCTGAGCCACACTGGCCAGGGATACTCAGCCTTGGACTTTAGCAGCCTTTCCCTAAGGCTGACAATTGCTATTTTAAATGAGATGTTTTAAATGAGATATTTTAGAATAGGCATACTATAAATACTTACTGTTTTTTTCTGATACAAAAGTAATGTATGTTTATTATAGATGAGTCTGAAAAAAGAATAAAAATAATCCATCTTACCTCCATCTGGAACAGAGCTAACCTTTGCTGATATATTTATGAGTTTCCTTTTGGTATATAAAAATGCATGTAATATATGTATTTAAACCAAGTTGAGAGTCATACATATATAAGCTGGGTATCCTATTTCCCCCCCTCACTTAGCATGGTATCACAAGTAAGTAATTTCCTGTATCTTTCAGTATCGGAAAGTAGATCTCTCGTGGTTCTACCTGACTTTATCCATTCCCATACTTGAAAATTTTGGTTGTTTCAGGTTCTTTGTTAATTAATATCAGTGACACTGTGGTGAACTTTCTTATGTATAAATCTTTGCCTATGTCTTTAATAATTTCATTAGAATAGAACCCTAGAGATTGGATCGTGAGGAGGGGACTCACATTGCTGGGTGAGTACAAGTTGAAAGCATCTCTAGGGATGTGTATTAAGGGACTGCTTCTCTTTGACCCCGTGGCTCATGTTCCAGTGAATCTGCGGAGCTTCTCTGTGAGTAGCGGTCAGAGGACAGTTCCCAGCAAGGGCCTCTCTGCATGTTCCGGTCAGAGTCCTTTCTCTGCTTCCCTCTGTGTCCTGCTCTCCATCGCCTCATTTGCCCTTTGCAGTCAATGTTTTTTGGAAAAACTGCTTGTTTGAAAATAAAAATGTAAAAATAAAATGAAAGTTTTTATTTTAAAATAAAATTTATAGATTTTTTTTTTTCTGCTAGACAAGCAATTGGTGATTTACTATCTGAAAGTGAACAAAGTATAATATTCAGGGATTTGTTGCTTCTTAAGAGTGCAGACATAAGTTACTTATTCTCACCCCTGTCACGGACAGAGATCAAATGACAAAATGTGTTCTGTTGAAATAAAGCCATTTTAATCCCTCATTTTAGTAAAAGACGAAAGATTTATGCGATCTGAAGAGAAACCAGAGTATTAATCCCTCATTTTAGACTCTTAGGAACCCAGCAGGCAGAAGGAGCTTTTTTGTTCAGCTTCCTGTTCTGCCTGTTAGTTCGGGCTCTTACATTTGACTGTAATTTAAATTCTTAGTTTACCTTGCCCCTCTGAGTTTTTTACTCATTCATTTATCCTTTTTTTTTTTCATTATGTCTCATTCTCATGAGAGGTATCACTCTTTATTTTTTTAATTATTTTTTTAAATATATTTTATTGATTCTCCACAGAAAGGAAGGGAGAGGGGCAGAGAGTTCAAAACATCGGAGAGAAACATCAATCAGCTGCCTCCTGCACACTCCCCACTGGTATGTGCCCACAACCAAGGCACATGCCCCTAACGGGAATTGAACCCGGGACCCCTGAGTCCACAGGCCAACGCTCTATCAACTGAGCCAAACTGGTTAGGGCTCACTTTTTATATTTAAAGGAGATAGTTTCTCAGTTTGCTACTTACTAATTATTATATATTTTTAAAGGATTCCTCTTTCTGATCTTTTGTCTCTTCTGTTGTGTAGATGGTCATTTTTAGAGTACCTAATCCCTTAGGAAAACAGTGAGAACCGTTTGTTTTTGTTTTTTTTTTTAGTTTTGGGGGGGTTTTTTTGGATGAGAAGGTATAAGAATGATTCTTGCCCTGACTGGTTGGCTCAGTGGATGGAGCATCGGCCTGCGGACTAGAGGGTCCCGGGTTCAGTTCCGGTCAAGGGCATGTATCTTGTGGGGAGTATGCAGGAGGCAGCTGATCGATGTTTCTCTCTCATCGATGTTTCTAACTCTCTATCCTCCTCCCTTCCTCTCTGTAAAAAATCAATAAAATATATTTTTTAAAAAATGATTGTTGTTGTGATTAACTCTTGAACATAACATAAAAATAATACATAATCCCCCAAATATTTTTAGTTTAGAACTCAGTTATAATTTTCAGGTATGCACCAATGTTGCCTCCTCATGCTGGAGCCTAATACCTTCTGCCTGTCCCTAGTCCTGGAGCAGTTTTGCTTGAGGCACCAAGGCTCTTGCTTAAATCCCAGTACATTTTTTGGGAAGGTGGGAAGTACATCAGCCCGTTGTTTCCTACTCATCAGCTGTCTGCAGACAACCCATTGGAGGTCCCTAGACACTGGGTGGCGGGAACAAATGGGTATCGCTGGGGGAGAATCAAGAACTGACTTCATTTGCACGCAGGGAGTGTCAAGGACCTGGTTCATGCATCCTGGTTTGTCCCTCTTCTAATGTGGGGCACACTGCCATGAAGATCATTCTCTTGAATGGAGTGGTTAATTGCACACACTCCAGACGGAACTCAAAGCATCGTCCTCCTTCCTTATTGGTTATTCATTCTTAAATTTTGCTCTCTTGCTAAATGGATCGCCCATTGCCTTTCTGCCAGCATAAACCTCAAAAGCTGCTGAGTTTAGAGTCGGCATTATTATAACCATGACGTGTGGTCTACAATATTCCTGAGTTGAAGAGGCTACTTATATTCTCCTGCTTCGCAAAGATCTCCCTTCTCAGGCTGCAACATGCTGGGCAGAGTTGGGCTCCTGACTACTCAGGCTGTCAGGGTCTCGATGAAATCCCAGAGAGGAATCAAAAATTTGAGCTTAGTGAGCTAATGGGATGAAAAGAAATGGGAGATTGAGATGTGGGTTGTTTTAAAAGAGGCACGCTTATTTGGTGGTGGTGATGGGAGTACAGTTCATGGGCTTTATATTTTGCTCTTTTCTATACTCAGTTCTGTCATGAGGTGAAGGATCTGAGGGGTGAGCTGGTGACCTGGGCTCTGGGTCTCGCCATTGCTGGGTATCTTTGGACCAATCACTTAACTTTTCTTTATTTACCAGTAAAATTAGGAGTTGGAATTAGATGTGCTAATAGGGCCTTCCTCGCTGTAGCATTCTGTAGTTCATCCCACTGCTTCTTTATGTGGCGCTTCCCCGGGGGTGATGTGAGTCTTCGGCCTCCTTGCGCACTCCTCCTCCCACCCCCAGCCCTGGGAACGGAGACTGCATGGAAAGGAGGGGAGGGAGGGAAGCAGGATGCCACACCATGTCCTCCTGGCCTCACTGACTGGGGAGTGCCTGCTGCCTCCATCTGGCGCTCCCCCCAGGATCCAAATGCTCCTCTCACCAAGCTGTGCCGTGTGTGTGGCCTTAGGGAACTTGCGTTTCTACTCAGTTCACTATTAACAGTAAAGAAAGAAGAGAAATCTTTATCGTCAGCCACCTTACTAGTGCTATAAGGTTTAATAAGAGATAAGTGCAGAATGGAAATGAGGCAAGCTTTCCAAGTATTATAGATGGGAGGGTACTGAGAAAAAAGAGTGACTGCTTCTCATTTCAAGGATAGGAGAAATTAAGTCTATACTGTATAGAGAGAATTGAGTAGAATTGGGGACTTTAAAGGGAAAGTAGTAAACCAATAAGTTAAAAATATTCTTTTTTATGTCATCATGATTACTTAAGAAAATTTGAGGGCCAACACTGTTAACACAGTTATCCATCATGAATTCTAAGACATGAACTCACAGGGAGGCTGGGCAGTGTCTGGGACCTGCGTTTTGTATAACCCTGACTCGCCTTGGACTTGGCCTGCTGACCTTGGCAGGCTCGACAGT